CTATCACATTTCATGGACGGCGAAATTCATATTATATAACATAACTACATATCCGTTGAGTTTGACAAAACACGGTGAATCAACGTAGACTGGTGTAAGAAAAAGCACTAATTTGCAAGAATAAGCCATATTACGTACATTGGTAGGCCGTAGGTGTGGCCACATATTATTTTTCATTTAAGCACAAAATGGAAACTACTCCACCTTGACCAAAGTAACTGGTCAGCAAACAACTTTTGAAGGTCTTTCAAGTTATAATATCATCAAGTAGTATATTTTTATTCATGAAAATAAACTAAGACAATTATTATGCAGATTAGTGGAGCAACCATTGACGCGGCTAGTGTAATAGTTTAAGAATCTCGCGATGGTCATTTTTATACATTGTTAGCATCTTCCCCTCGTTTGCTTGTGAAATGAGCCAATGGCGCACCAGAACAAACGGATAGATGTAGTAATCTACTCCTATTAGGGAACGCATTCGTCTCCTTAGACTTCTTTTTAAATGTTGAAACTTACCAACTTCCTTTAAAATTAAGCCACGAGCGTATCAATATTATGTATATAAAAAATCTATGTATAAAACCTGCATATATAAATGTATTTTCTATATTAAAATTCGGAAAATGGTCAAAGTTGGATTCTGAAGAAATAGTATTTTTGGTTGACCAACTTTTGTATGCAAGATTTAATATTTATTGCACTCTAAATGTAATTAAAATAGTGAGTGTTCTTCCCATATCACATAGTATCTGTAAACGAAATCATAAGCGTTAACCAAAAGGATAATTTATAGAGGTTCCACTAGTATGTGTAAAGGAAATCATAAACGTTTAAAAGAGAAAAAAAAAATCATAAACGTTTACCAAAAGGAGGGATGATATACCGTATCATCAAAAAGGAAGCGCTATCGTATGTAGTACCCCGTCCGGCCTCCGCATATGAATTATTGATGTTTTTGGTTTTGATTGTTTTTAGGCTCTAAACTATTGCTAACATTTTACATATAACACCAACACGTAGAAAATTGTTATGAGTTTCAGTTTTACAAATTTTCAGTTATCTGTTCCTCGTTGTCATTTTTTTTTAATTGCTGCTGATATAACAACCTACAATTTATCCCCAAAAGATAACATCCTAGCAAAGCCTTAAGAGAAGAAAAATGATAACATCCAAACGTCAACAGTGAGAGTTTGAGAGACAAAAAATAATAATATTAATGAAAAGTGTAACTAAGTTTTGAATGGTAACCAATGGAATGTAGAAGAACACTACATTCCTTAAAAATTTACCATTCCTAAGAAATAGTTTTTCATTTTCATTTCTTCTCATTCTTTTTTTGTAAAGAATTTTAGAACAATTTTGTTCCTTGTTAATTTGGATAAAGAATCACCATTCTTCATCATTTCCACCTTTTTTCCAATACATTTTAATACATTTTTAATATTTCTATGATGGTTACCAGTTACACTCTTAAGTAAATTTTCTATATTGTTTCTATAAGATAATAATAACCTCTTTATCATCCGATAGTATGTTTGGGATTGTTTATCTTTCGCAAGTAGTAAATTTGTCCTAATTTTCAGAATTATACCTGCATGGTCAGATGGAATATTCTATTCTAATTGAGTTGCTAATCAGTAACACTTTTTGTGACCAATAATTACAAGAAAATCCCCATGTCCCACCATTATATTAGTGGTTCGATACATTGCAGAATATTTTATCAATTGAGTTTAATGAAACAATTGCGCACGAAGAAACGAATAGAAAAGCATATGTAACTACTACGTTTCATTTGTTTCATTATTCTTTATCGTGATCTTTGTTGTTACAAGACTGAAACATTTTTTCCACTAAGAAATGGTTGATGAATGACGATGGCGAGGTCCTAAAACTCGTCTAGAAACCTAAATAAACAAATAGGTACGGCTCTTGATAACATAGTTACAAACAAAAATTAATACAACTTAACCAATTAAACAAATAGGTCGGCTTTTGATATCATAGTTACAAATTACAACACACAATTAATACAACTTAACCAATTAATCTCCTCCAGTTATATCCATCTATCGACTCTATTACTACAAGTCTACAATATACCTTAACTGCATATCCCATGAGTTGAAAAAACACGGTGAATCTAAAGTAAACTGATGTAAGAAAACGCACAAACCTGTCTTTGTCACACGTTTTTGTTATTCCTTTTAAATTAAAAATTAAGTTGAAGTCAAAAGAGAACGTAACACTATAAAAACTGTTTCAAGCTCTTCATTTCATCATTTCAAAATCATCACAGAAAGAAAAACAAATACAAACAAAAGATGGTGCTCTTCGCTTTAACATCTTCTTCTCCAAAGCTAAAACAACATTCACACCGGAGCTTCTCTGAGTCTCTGATAGAAGACAACATCGAAGACGCTGCAACCATAATTCACCAATGGATTTCGCCAGACTCTTCTTCCTTCTGCTGCACCTTCTCCCTCTTCTCCAACAAAAACAGAGAAGAAGCTAAACGATTCATCGGAGCTGTCACAACCTTACACTCCACAATGACCAAGCTCGTCTCCGTGAACCCTTCATCAGCAAAGCTTATCCGAGCAGAGAGTCTACTAAAGATCTCCATGAATCATCTATCAAAAGAGTTCTACAGAATCCTAAAATCAAACCGACGCTACCTTGATCCAGAATCCGTCTCCGTCCGTTCAAGAAACTCTTCAAGAAACGACGATGCAGAAGCCATGGAGGATCTCAAGATGATCGCTGACTGCATGACGTCATCAGGATACGGTAAAGAATGCTTCAAGATATACAAAAAGATCCGTAAGTCCATCATCGTGGAAGCTTTGGAAAATCTAGGGTTCGAGAATCTGACTCTCTCGCAGGTTCAGAAACTCGAGTGGGAGGTCATGGAGAAGAAGGTCAGAGTATGGTTACGAACGGTGAGAAAAGCGGTTACGACTCTGTTTTACGGTGAAAGGATCCTCTCCGATCACGTCTTCTCCTCCTCCGCCGCGATTCGAGAATCTTCGTTCGCTGAGATCACTCTACAGAGCGCTTTAGCTTTGTTCTCTTTCCCGGGAAACATGGCGAAATCTCGGAAAACGCCTGAGAAAATCTTCCTCACTCTCGACGTTTACCAGTCGATCGTCGAGCTTACGCCGAGAATCGAAGAGGTTTTCAGTTACGATTCGACGTCTTCCGTCAAATCGCTGATCGCCGGAGCCGTAGAAAGCCTCGAGGAAGCGGTTATCTCAATGCTCGACGAGTTCGAGTCGTCGATTTCGAAGGAATCTTCGAAATCGATAATCTCTAACGGCGGAATCCACCAGCTTACGAGATACGTCATGAACTACATCGTCTTCCTCGCCGATTACAGCGACACGCTCGCTAACATCATCCCCGAAACGTCGTCGTTCTCTTTACCTGAGGGAGATGATGAAGCCACGTCATCGTCATCGCCGCTCGCGAAACGAATCTCGTGGCTGATTCTCTTCCTACTCTGCAAGATCGACGCGAAGTCTCGTCTCTACAACGACGTGGCGCTCTCGTACCTCTTCTTGATCAACAATCTCAACTACGTCGTGGTTAAGGTCCGTACGTCGAATCTAAAGGAGGTTCTGAGCGAGGCTTGGCTGGAGAAGCACGAAGGGAAGGTGAAGAAGTACGTCGCGAAATTCGAGGAGATTGTGTGGGGAGAAGTGATGATGACGTCAGTTGCGACGGAGGAAGAGGCGGAGGAGTTTGTTAGACGGTTTAGTGACCGGTTCGAGGAAGCGTATAAGAGGCAAACCGGTTGGGTTGTACCGGATTCGAAATTGAGAGACGAGATTAAAGTTTCGGTTGCCACGATGCTTATACCTGCTTACACGGAGTTTTACGAAAAGTACCGGGTCGGGTTATGGAAGAATGTCGGATTTGGCCCTGATGATATCGGGAATTATATCTCGGATCTGTATTTTGGGTCGGGTGGATCCGGGAGCGTTTCGTCGGTTCATTCTTCGGACTCTTATGTTTGACATATGTTGATATTAGTAAAGTAGTAAATCTATGCTGTGATTATTTGAGTCTTTTACTTCATTCGGATATCTGTAATTATTATTATTTTTTAAATCAGTGATATACTTTGATTAGAAGTTAGATGCATGGACATCAATCAATAATCATATAGCTAGCCTAAATCATCATAAACTTTTTACTAAAATTCATGAACAAGTAGGAGTATATGATAGTTGCTAGGAGTATATGATGGTTGCTCCGAAAAAGTAATATATAAAATGTTAAACACTTGAGAATAGAATTAAGAGAAACTAGATTTTGAACCCGCACATCCGTGCGGGAAATCTTTCATTTTTTAATTATAAAAATTTAATATATGTTAGCAATTTTATTTTCAGTAAAATTTATTGCATAATTTACGAATGTTTAATCTTTTTAAAAGGTAAGTCATATGTAATTCATTTATTATTTCTATTTTAATATAATATAGACTATGCTTATAAATTTATAAAATTAGCATATACTATATTTTTGTTTGTAATCAATTTTAATTAAGATTAGTGTATAATAATATTATATTACTAATTACGAAATTAATCAGTGCATTAATTAAAAAACTATTTAAATTTTTAAAAATATTTTGTTAGATTTTGCCTCAGTAGATTTTGTGATTACTAAAACTAAAATTTAAAATTACAGTTAAAAAAGAAATGTGTTATTATCATCTTTATAATTACTTAAAAATGTTATACATTAGATAAACTTATGTAAATAAGCAAAACAATGTAACTGAATATATGAACCTAGTATGACTATTTTATAGTAGATAAAAATGGTACTTCTCTTTTAATAGAGAAGATTTGGCTCAATATTCATAGTAACTCTACAAAAACACTATCTAACCATATTAGAGCAACATTATTGGTTGGGAACAAATCTGAATCCTTAACATATTTAATGAATATATTGATGTTTAGGACAAATATAAGGACTTTGGAAATTTAGAAGATTATTGGAAGGACTTATTGAGTTCTTGCTCTTCCGCGACAAATATAACTACTCATCTATCTCTCTCCCTTTTGTTCTTGTGACACGTGACATTAAGGACGACATCAAAACGTTTGTTAATTAACAAACGATTACCCGTCTCCTACTGACTTTGGGTTAAACAAATAATAAAAAAACACTAAGGGATGCACTAAGGACACCAATAATGATGGTCTTAAAGTCTTAGTTAGGCTACGCTTGCTTTTTCTTCTCTTTATTCCTTATATTGGCTTTCAATCGCACGTGGAAAACAGATAATTTGTATAACATAGAAAACCTATACTATTGGAAAACTAGGATAATATAGATGTGATAGCATGTATGGATGTGTATATATGTTAATAGACGTGTTAACATGTATAAATCTGTATAGAAGATAATAAGTTGTCAATAGATATGTGTTTATAGTATAAAACGTTGGAGATTGCGTTACTAGATGGATATACGTTTCGTATGTTCCCAGCTTCGATTTGAAGAGGATATTCAGTAGGCAATAGAAAATTGTTTATAGTATAGAAAATTGGGGTAATTCAAGTCCTTATGTGTTCTTCTACACTTGCAACTGAAGTAGGTTGGTAATAGTTAATCGGGTACTATATTCAATCAACGACGACTATACTATTGGATAACGAGTATAGTATCATATGTCTAGTAATTCTGCAGAGTAGGTATCGCTCTCTCTCTCTAGTATACTATTTTGGATTACATGCTGAAGTAGGTCTCTCTCTCTCTGGTATACTATTGGATTACATGCTGAAGTAGATTACTATTGGATTACATGCTGAAGTAGGTCTCTCTCTCTCTCTCTCTCTCTCTCTCTCTCTCTCTCTCTCTCTCTCTCTCTCTCTCTCTCTCTCTCTCTCTCTCTCT